TTGGTCAATGACATGAGACAAAGTATATGTGAACTGCTGTATGAAAAGTGAATTTACTCTGTAAATCTTCACCCAAATCCTAATTAAAAAAAAAAAAGAATACAGTCTGCAGTATGAATTACATCTCAATATAAAGAAAACAAAAATCTTCACAACTAGACCTATAAGCAGCATCCCGATAAATGGAGAAAAGATTGAAGTTGTCAAAGACTTCACATTGCTTGGTTCTACAATCCACGCCATTGGAAGCAGCAGTCAGAACATCAGACAACATATAGCACTGGGCAGATTGGCTGCAAAGGACCTCTTTCAAGTGCTGAAGAGCAAAGATGTCTGCTTAAGGACTAAGCTGCGCCTGACACAAGCCATGATATTTACAGTTGCCTCATATGGATGTGAGAGCTGGACAATGAATAAGGAAGACCGAAGAAGAGTTGATGCTTTTTAGTTGTGGTGCTGGAGAAGAATGCTGAAAGTAGCATGGACTGCTAAAAGAACTAACATGTCTGTCCTGGAGGAAGTGCCGCTGCAATGCTTCTTGGAGGCGAGAATGGCCAGTCTTCGTCTCACCTACTTTGGTCATGTTGTCAGAATCAGAAGGGACCATTCCCTGGTGAAGGATGTCATGCTTGGTAAGGTGGAGGGTTGACAAAAGAGGGGAAGGCCCCCAACAAGATGGATTGACACGGTGGTGGCGGCGATGGGCTCAAGTATAGTGGGGATCATGGAGCTGGCACAGGACCAGGCGGTATTTCATTCTGCTGTGCATAGGGTCTCTATGAGTCGGAGATTACTTAAGGACACCAGGCAGAGAAGTGGATAAAACAAGATTGACACTGGATGAAACAAGTTTATATTTAAAATACAATAAAACACTAAAAATGAAATAAAATAATGAAACAGAAACAACTGTAAACATGAATAGACCCACAACCATCTGTCCACCTTCTGCCAGTTCTACTTCCTGGGTATCTCATTACCACTTACTTTACTTACTCTGTTTATACTGTTTTAGCCCAAGCCATCATTGCCCTTCACCAACAAGTGCATAGGGTCCCATATGATTGGCCTGGCTCCCTTAAAATCATTCTTTCTGTGGCTTCCAATGTCATCTTCATCAGTGCTACTCTGATGTCACTCCTACTTAAAACCCTTCAGAGATTTTTGTTGACAAAGCAAGTCCAAATATGTGGCTGCATTTTGCCCAGCTGGACCCTGCCTACCTTTCCCTCCTGCTGAATGTCCTCAAACTATTAACATATTTATTTCATTCATAGAAAGCACTAAAAAAAAAAAAAAAAAAAAAACTCACTGCCATTGAGTCGGATCCAACTCATAGCAACCCCTCCTTGGTTTTCCAAGGCAGTATCACTATGGAAATAGATTGCCCAACCTTCCTTCTGAGGAGTGGCTGGTGGGTTTGTACCGCCAGCCTTCTGGTTAGCAGTGAAATGCCTTAGGCACAATGCTACCAGAGCTCCTTTAGAAAGGACTAGGATCTCTCATTTTGGGGCCATTATATATGTACTTTTGTCTGGTATACTTAGGGTTATTTAAACAACCCTTTTTCAGCAAAGTATTTTCTGACTACCATTTTGCTATCCCACTCCCAGGCCATGGTACCTGCTCCTGCTGGGTGATTGCATAACTGGCCTGTTGTAAAAGCTCTAGGACAGTACAGTGTGTATCTTACTGGGCATGGAAAAGACATCATTTACCTGGCCCTCTCTGATGGCGTAGTGCCTAAGCCATTTGATGGCTAACCAGAAGGTTACTGGTTCAAACTCATCAGCTGCTCCACAGGAGGAAGATGAGGCAGTCTACTAACATAAAGATTCACAGCCTCAGAAACCCAGTGGGGGTCGCTATAAGTCAGAATCAACTCAATGGCAGTAAGTTTCGTTTCCTTGTTTTTTTCTTGTCATACGTTTTGCACTTAAATATTTGAACAATGACTACAGCATTCTTTGCACTAGAGTAAAAGGAAACAGTGCTAAATACTGTTACATACATAATCCTGCAGTAATTTAGGAGTGGATACATAGGTAGATATATAAGTTGAACACGTGTGGGGTGGTATATGGGAGTGTACCCATGAGCATATGTAGGTTTGGCCGAAGTTATTTCTACATACATATTTGTGTGTGCTGCAAATATAATCAGATATATAGAAGAACACACGCTAGGCAAAGTTATGCAAACTTCTTAGCCATAACCAAACACCTTGATGCACTGACTCACTGGGCTTGAGAGTTTAGGACTATAGTCTTGGGACATCTAGGTCAATTGGCATAACATAGTCCATAAAAACAATGTTCTGCATCCTACTTTGGTGAGTAGTGACTAGGATCTTAAAAGGTTGTGAGCAGACATCTTAAGATACAAGTATTGGTCTCTTCATGTCCGGTGCAAAGAAGAATGCAGAAAATCAAAGAATCAAGGAAAAATTATTCTAAAGGACTAACAGACCACATAAACCACCGGCTTCACTACCAGAAGAACTTCTTCACACCAGAAGAACAAGATGGTGCCCAGCTACCATTGTCAATTGCTCTGAAAGAGATCACAATAGAAAGTCATAGAATGGCAGAAAAATGTAGAACAAAATTCAAAATCATAAAAAAGAACAAACTTACTGGCCTGGTAGAGACTGGTGGAACCCTGAAAATGATGGCCCTAAGGTACCCTTCGAACCTGGAACTGAACTCAATCTTGGAGATAACCTTTCAGCCAATCAATAGACAGCCCTACAAAGGGAACAGTAGCACCCGTGAGGTACGTGCTTCTCAAAATAGTCAGCCATGTAAGACCTGAGGGTATCATTTGAGTCAACTCCAACTCATAGCAACCCTGTGCGTACAAAGGAGAACTGCTCCGTGGGGTTTTCATGGCTATGACCTTTGGAAAGCAGATTGCTGTGCCTGTCTTCTGAGGTACCTCTGGGTAGATTCTCCCTACCCCCCTTTTGTCTGCTAGTCAAGTGCTTAACTGTTTGCACCACCAGGAACTCCTATTTTAAAATTAATTTACATTATAATTTAAGTTATATTTAAAGAAAATAAACTGAACACAATTTGATTTAATGACTTTCTTAGGAGGAATATATGTCTATTAGCTAGCTGTGTTTTTCCAGTAGTTTTTGTGAAGTAAAATGATCAGGATTTTAGTGGAGGCAAATTCTGTTTTCCCTGGAGTGAAATGTTCTTGTACATTTAGATAATTAGTTAAAAAATATTTTGTGGATAAAATTTCTATATCAGTTGAATAAAGTAAATAGTATAATCAAAAGTGTAAGGGAGATAGTTCACATTGACTGGATTTAGGGGTTTGAGGAAGTAGTGGCAGGGCCAGAACAGACATAACACTTAATTATCAGTTTACCAGCTGCCGTGGAGTCAGTTCCAACTCCTGGTGACCCCACATGTGTCATAGTAAAGCTGCACCACAGGGTTTTCAAGACTGATTATTCAGAAGTACATCACTAGACCTTTCTTCCAAGGTGCTCTGGGTGGACTACATCTTCCAGCCTTTCAGTTAGTAGCCTGAACTATGGGAGGACCTTTACTGCCAGATCAAAGAGTTTAGGAGCTGTTGAATGCCTTAAAGCTGGAATCGTTTTTAGGAGGATTAACCTGGAGACTTTTGGGGGAGGGGGAGGGGAGTGGTAAGGGAGCAGACTTAGAATCAGAATTGTAGCTGCACAGGCTAAGTAAGAAAGAACCTAATGAGGGGGTACAGTACAGGGTGTGGTACAGAGAGAAGTGGAAGGGGGTGTCTGTACCTAAAAAGTTTAAAAAGGTAAACTTATGTCACCAAAGTTTTTTCTTCTTAGAACTCTTGGGATCTTATCTTTGAGGTACGTCTTCTGTCCCTATTGGAATGGTAGTTTTCTCAGATCCCCCAGGAATGCTAACAATGGGCTTTTTTCCCTAGGGTTATGATAATTCAGAGAGCAGTGTTCGGAAAGCTTGTGTCTTCTGCTTGGTGGCTGTTCATGCAGTAATTGGTGATGAACTAAAACCACATCTCAGTCAACTCACTGGCAGTAAAGTAAGTAATGCTGCTTTGTTTTAAAGATGGAGCTATGATATGTTCTTCAAAATTTAGTTCTATGTGTGTGTTGAAGGTTGAATTTATTAATCAGCTTTTTATAAGTCATGCTTGAAACATCTAACTGGCCATTATACCCCGGTGCTTTTTGGCTAGTTCTGCTGAAACTTTTGTCACTCAGGTGAAATTAGTAGTGTGGTAGGGTGGGTTCTCCGAGAGAAAATGCTTACGGCTTCTGGAAATACATAATGGCCAGCCAGCTCCTTTCCCAATCCAATGCACAAATCCTTACTCCCAAGAACTATTTAATTAAGAATAAATAGACTGTTGGGATTAGACATATATGGATTATTTTATTACTCCCCAAAAATGGAATACTTGAACATTTTTTCAGTTTTGCCCTTAAGAAGTGTGATAACCAAATATTGTTCACCGAAATTGACTGGATGGCAGTAGGTTTGGTTTTTGGTACTTAAGGCTTCAAATAAATAAAGTAAAATTTGTCTTTCTCACTTTTGTTATTACCTAAGCCTTGAAATTTGTTTTATGGACTGAGGATAAACTATGATTACTGAATTAAGGCTGAAGAATCACTTAGCAGGAGGCATTCCCCTTCACTTACAGAGTTTCCCAAAATCCTAATAATTGTGATTACTATGGTCTAATTTATTTTTTAAATAGCAAGAAGGCAGGAAAAAAAATCTACCTTTTCTTTAAAAAAGGAAAATGAGCTCAGTGATCACCTTTCATTAAATACCTAAAAAAATCATAGGTAGATTAAAACCCTTTCTGAGTTAGAAACAACTTGGAAATTTAGGTATTACCTCCTCCCAAGAAAAACAAATACATACAGAAGATTTTACATGTAATTTCAGAGGGTTCAGTGAGCTCCTGAATCCCATGGATACCAGGTTAGAAACATTTGGGGCAGAGTGTTAACATTAAAAATACAAACAAGTGGTTTCCAAAAAAAAGTATCTCAGCTTCTGTGATAAATACAAATTAGGTTCTGGTAATCTAAAGATGCTTATAGAATAAAAATTCAACACCTTATCTCAAGACAGTTGTTGTTGTTGTTGTTATGTGCCGTCGAGTCAGCCCCGACTCATAGCGACCCCTCCTTGGGTTTCCGAGGCAGTATCACTATGGAAGTAGATTGCCCCATCTTCCTTCTGAGGAGTGGCTGGTGGGCTTGAACCGCCAGCCTTCTGGTGATGAGATGTGTAATGACCATGAAAATCTTTTGTAATACTAAGAAGTTCCTTTAAGTTATCTTCTGTATAGGAATTGTTGAATTTAAGATGGATTATTCATTTTTCTTTTGTAAAAGGATGTAATCCAAACATGCTGTGATGACAATCATGCCGTCTACAACATAATTTTTTGTTAGCAAATTATAATTGTAACTCTGTGCTGAAGAATTAAGGACACATTTCATTATCTAATTGATCCATGAACGGTATGACATGTCAGCTATCATTTTTGTAAATAGTAAATTATGGTTGAAAGGAAACTATACCACTGAGCCATCTTGCTTTATAATTTGTACTTACTTGATGGTTAAAATTCTGTCTGTATCCAAAGATTTCCTATGCACATGACCATCTTTTTTTTTCCCCCTTATGAAAAAGAGCAAGCTGGTATCTGGAGTAATTTATCCTATTAGGCATGTATCATGTGATTTTATACTACACATGATGAAAAAAAATCAAATTAAATATGACTTAAGTCTCAATTATACTTGGACTTTATTCATCCTAACACCTTGCAAACCTCCAAACTCAGAACCATGGGAAGCTCCTGAAAGTCTTATGCAGAACAAAATACTGGAGAGCAGTGCAATGGTCTTAGCTTCAGTGTTTATTGTGTCTCTACAGTCCCCTGGAATGGTTCTTTGCTACCATGCCTCTTTAGACATGAAACTTATTACCAGCCTTGTGAGTGCTCCATGAAGTCATTCCTCGCTGAGGTCCTGCCATCTCCCTGTTGTTGTTGTTGTTGTTGTTATGTGCCATCGAGTCGGCCCCGACTCATAGCGGCCCCTCCTTGGGTTTCTGAGGCAGTATCACTACAGAAGCAGGATTGCCCAACCTTCCTTCCGAGGAGTGGCTGGTGGGTTTGAACCACCAGCCTTCTCGTTAGCAGTCAAGTGCTTTAGCCACTATGCTACCAGAGCTCCTTCTCAAGACAGTAGTAAGGTGAAAAAAATATTTGTAAATAATATTAGGTGAGAAAAGTAGAACACAAAATTATATATGCGTCAATTACAACTTTCTAAAAATGTGATCTCATGGCTGTAGACTACAAAAGGACACAGAGAAATCAAAAACATTCTTATATTAGGATGGTGGTTGGCATAGTGGTCTAAAGGCATAGGTCCTGCAATCCAAATACCAAGAGTCCTGTCAGGCCCACCTTATACCTACCCTGTGACCCTAGGCAGTAACCTAACCACTCTATAGCTCAGTTTCCTTATCTGGAAAATGCCAAAATAAAAATTGATCATGTAAAACAGTTAGTTTCCACAGTGCATAGCATATAGTGTTCAGGTGTTTGTCATTATTTTTTAATGTTACTGATTGTCTTGGACTTCTAGCTTCTATTCATTACCCACTCTTGGGACCACATCTAATCTCATCATGGGGAATAACTACATCCAGCTGTCATGCCACTCAAAATTACAGCCCAGCCAAGTTGACACACAACCTTAACTACCACATTGCTTTAATATTTTTTAAAGGGCATGTCAGTCTTACACAAACTCTGAGACTTAAAACGCCTTTAAAAAAAAAACTATTATCAACAGTAACGTAACAATAACCCCTCTAGTCTAAAGTCTGTCTTTCAAATTTCACATGTATGTATATAATTTCTCTCAATGATCATCTCATAATTGTGAGCAACTTACCACCTTTATAGTTCCCCTTTAAGTGACATATGTTTGGCTTAAATTTTCAGATGAAGCTACTGAATCTTTACATCAAACGTGCACAGACAGGTTCAGGAGGAGTTGATCCCACTGCTGATGTTTCTGGACAAAGTTAGTGAAACTGATTGACATGACCCATGTCTCTCAAAGAAAGAACAGAAAGACTACCCTCATCGATGAAAGGAAATTTTCAAATACATGTTTTAGAATTTAACCAATGTTTCCCAGTTTTAGTTTTTTGTTTTGTTTTGCTTTGTATTTTCTGTAACAGAGGACTATCCTTAGTCTGCATGTAACTTTTATGATAGTTATCCCAAATTCAAGAAGAAGCAGTATTAACATCAGTTGATCAATACAGAGGAATTTTTTAATCTAATTTGTCATTTTACATGTCTGTACTTCTTTGTCTTCCCATTAACCTTTGCCAGTGTTATGATTGTACAAATTTTTTTTAAGTGCTGGTTAAACAGGAATGCTTAAAGCTTTAAAAGTTTAACAGTCTAAAACATTTTTTTTGCCTTTATTCAACTGCAAAATAATATTTTATTGCTACTTTGAGTTTTGTTCCGTATCATGTCCTATGCTAGAAATATTGAAATGATGTGAAAACAAACCAGGACTAATTTGAACTGCAGCTGGACTTTGTTGTGTGATGGTGATATATGTCATTAGTTGCAACTTCTTTGGGGTGATCTGTACTTTGAAAGCAAAGACCTCAAAAAGAAATGTAAAACGGATATTGTTTGTTGATGATTGATCTTGCCGTTTTTATTTAAAACCATCTCCCCTCCATGATCCCTTAAGAAAGCTGCACCAAATCATCTGTCTGTGTTTTGTTTTGTTTTTTCCTTGATACTTATAAAAATAGAAGGTTTTATTGCAGGGTTTTTTGGTTTGTTTATCTTGGTTGTGAATGATGCTTCTTTTGTATTTATTAATATCAAATTCACTTATGAATAAACTTGATAATAGAAACAGACAAAAAAAAAATCAAGTGCATGTGTGTCCTTGACATTCTCATTTGATAAACTAATTATTAGATAAGGGGAGTCAAATGGCACCTTTTCTGTAAATGATGGAACCTGGTTTCCTTTTACCATGAAATTGTCATACTTGAAAATATTGATCCTGATGAGAGAGAAGATGGTGCCAAGGCTGTCTTTCTAAATGGGCTCAAATTCTCTACCTCTTCAGGGCTAATACTTTTTGACTGAGCTGCTGCCTGTGGTATCTTTTTGAAAACTATTTAAAGGGTGATTTTTCTGTTATTTTTTAACAAATTTTTTTAATCACCTTTTGCTACACCTATTCTCTTCATGTGCAGCCAACTTTCAAAAATGACGAATTGTGGTGAAAGGCAAATTAGATTGATTTGGAACCAGGCTACTAATGATTTCTCATCTTGACTTTTTTGGTTTTTTTAATCCTAACATAAAGTGAATTTGACTGGAAAGGCAAATAGCTATTAGGGAAGCAATTTGCTGTTGTTGCAGAGTTATCTGTACTTTCTTTGTCTGATTGAAAAAAGTGTAGAAAATGTATGTAAAGAATTTAAGACAAGAGTACTGAATGAGTGACTTGTCATTGGCTTTACCTTCCTTTGTTTCTGTTCTAGCAGCAGGAAAAGTTTCTCAGTTACCCCCCCTTACTGTAACAATTTTGTTTTCTACTGTTAATTACATTGTGTATTTATAGTTCTATGCTTACTGTTGTGCATATACTGGCAATAAAACTGTACATAACATTACTTGAAAAAACGGATAATGTATATCAGCTGTTTTTCTGTCTCATAGTATGATAAAAGTCACTTTAATAAGTAGGGAATTTTGTTGTTGTTTTTAACTGGAAGGCCTTGTATCAATGGTGTTATCTTACAAATTTTATAAATACATCTGAGGAAAAAAGATTTATCAGGCGTAATAACAACAATCAAATGTATATACTATATAAGCCGTATATATTATAGCTTATCTTAAAGAAGCAAAGAATTTTAAACATTGAACTCTTCTCAGTAGTGTTTTAAGTACGATGACCTTTGGTATATTTTTTAACCTGTTTAAATCAAAATAATGATTTAAAATATAATTTTGACCTCTGCTTTCAGGTCTTGCTTTAACTACTGTTGACAACTAAGTAGAATGACTTAAGCTGAACAGTGACTCTTTTTTAATCATTAAAAAATTAAATCAAGCACCTAGCATCTAAAGGAAAGCACTCAAGAAATAAATGTGCTAAGTAACAGAAAAGTATAGTTTAATGTGACTAAGTGAAAGCTACATTAAAAAAATGGAAAAAAAAATATATTCTTGTTTAAAATTCTATAATTTCAATTGATGAGACCATAAAGTTGTTATTGATTATTCAAATTACTATCTGCAACATACCTTTAATTTGTTGATTCTAGAAACATACTTAGATATGAGCTATTAAAGAATGGTCATAAAAAGCTACTGTTTAAATTTTTTCCTCCTGCTTTTCTCCCGGGAACTATCAGTGTCATTCATTTACTACACTGCTCAAGATTAATTATAAAAGTTTGTAAGTTCCAGATTCTAAGACATTTTTGTTTCTTCTGGGTTTGCAAAATCTTTAGTAGACCTCTCACATTTTAAAGTTAGATATGGTTCAAACTGGAGGTTTCAAATTTGAAGTTGATTTGCTGTGTTTCCTCATATTTCATTCTTACAAACTTTTTTGGGGGAAGGGGTTAAGAGTTCAGCTTTTTATTGAACATGTTACAAAAGAAATTTAGTTAAAAAGACCAAAGCCCCTGTCATCATCGGACTCTTCAGATTCTTCTTTCTTTGGTTCCACTTTCTTCTCAGGTGGGGCAGCAGTGGTGGAGGGGCCAGGTTCTCTGCTGGTGCAGTGCTGGCTGCTGAGGTAGGTCCAGTAGCCCCTACATTGCAGATGAGGTTCCCAATGTTGACATTGGCCAGGGCCTTTACAAACAAGCCAGGCCAGAAAGGTTCAACATTTAACAATCACTGCTTTAATGAGGGCGTTGATCTTATCCTCTATGACAGTCACCTCATCATTATGTGCAGCGTGAGGGCCGAGCTCAGAAATGGAGGTCATGGTGCAGGAGTGGTGGGCTGGCAGGTTCCAGGCATGGTACTAGTCACCAGATGAAGTAAGAGCCTCACCCCAGCGCAACTGTAGCTTCCTCAGAAGAACCAAGCACCTTAGTGGCACCTGAGGAAAGAGCTGTTCTTACAAAGTTAAGGTTAAAACTACTTTTGCCATCAAGTTATGGTAAAACAAGATTGGCATCTTACCATCAGACCAGCTCTATTTATAAATTCATGTGTATCTTATTAACTTAGAATAATATTTACAATAAATAGAAATGAAAATTAGTATATTACTTAATCTTAGATACTTTTGCTTCCTTCATGGTTTGTAATTCATTTTATTTAGTACTGTTTTGCAGCTATGGGGGGGGGGAAAGGTCTAGAATTCAACTGTGAAAACAAAAACTTCTCAGTTAAAAATGTATCCATTTTTATTGTAGAATATTTGGAAAATAATGAAAAGCTGAGTAAACACAGAATTACTACTAATGCCATCACTTGGAGATTTGTATTGATACTTTGTGGAGTACAAAGGTAGTGAATTTGACTTAATTCTGAAAAGTGTAGAGAAACATTACATTGTGTTAACCAGAAGAGTGATAGGATTAGAATTAACAAACACTATGAATGCTTTTGTTCTTCTATGTATGTATTTAACAGTACATTTTTAATATATTCATCCTTTGTCCTTCTACAAGGTAACTTCTAATGGCAGCAAAGTGTTCATCATATGTGTGTAGCTTAAACCTGAGTCCTTGATCTTCACTGAATATTCTTAGAAAAACAGCTATGTCTTTGCCACATCTCCAATTACTTCATACTAGACAGTTTAAAATTGCTAAATATGGAAAGTCATCCTGATTAGAAGATAAACTACTGGCTTAAATAGCTGAGTTTAAATTATTCTTGTAAGCTTATAATTATAATTCTTATCATTGTCATCTACAATAGAACAAGGAAATAAGATTTCCTTAATAGAACGTTTTCAGTATTTCACATTTACCTGCATTCTTCCATGCAACAGACATGAGTATCTGCCTTCTAGGAGGCTGAGTAAAGCAAACACTGTAAAACAGTGTGGTTAGTGATATGATAGAAACACAGCATGTTATGGAAATTGGAATGGGAAGTAATCATGGAAGACTTCCTACTGGAGATGAAGCTTAAATTTATAGGCTGAATGTTTGTGACATTGGGGATGACAGAGTGGAGCATCAAAGGGATGCAAAGGTAGCAAAGCAGAGATGTTTAAGATGGCAAGAAGCATTGGGCATTTCACTACAACTTTTTAAACCATGGTTTATTTTTGTAAGGGTAGATGTCACACATTGCTCGCTCCCTTCAATATGCCTGTGTTCTGGTTACCTAGTACTGCTCTGACAGGAATATACCACAAATGGGATGGCCTTAACAAACAGGAGTTTATTCACTTATATTTTGGAGGCTGTAAGTCCAAGTTCAGAGTGCCAGGCTCTAGGGACTGGGTGAAAGCCCCTCAGCCTTGGGCTTCAGCTCTGCC